CATCTCTCTGAGACCTCGCCTGCCTGGCCTCCGCAGCACGAACAGCCGCCTCAGCAGCTCGGGAAGCCGCCTCAGCAGCTCGAGAAGTCATCTCGACAGCACAAAGAGCCTCTTCAGCAGCTCGCGCCTGCCTTGATCTCCTTTCCACCTGGGCCGCCAAGGCGTGGATAGAAGAGTTCACCTACCAAAAGAACAAGTGATCAAAAGAACGACAGCAAGAAGGATAAAAGCAAAAGAGCTCGATAAAAAGTCTGACTTACCACCATGGCATGAGTAACAGCACGGCAGGCCACCTGGTGAAAAGAGAGATCAGTCCACGCCGCGACCTCCTCGGGGAAAATGGCCTCCTTACTCTTCTGAAGAGCGTAGGTCGGCGACAACACACTCCTGAATTCCCCTGGAGCCCCCAAGCCCGAGGGTCCAACTCACGTTTGAGCAGACCCAGAGTAAGCAGGAGCACCAGAGTAGGTGGGAGCCCCCGTGTAAGTACTCTCAGCATACGGGCCCCTTGCCGCTTCTTGCAYTGGAGGAGCCATCTCGGGCTCCCTGGGCGGATCCCCTAACGGGTAGTCCGGTACCTCGGGCTCCGCATCCCGGGGCAGCTCGCGCGCGAGTTCGCTTGGCAACTCGCTTCGTCCTCTTCATGCTTTGAAACAAGTGCCCACCACGAGTCCTTCCTAAGTCCATCACACCTGCAAAAAAAGAGTTTGGCATCAGAAAAAAGCCGGACAGAGCAAAATAGAACCTCCAAGAAAAGAACCTACCCGGACTCAGGCCGGCCGCAATGAGCTTGGCCTCTATCAGATACTATTGGCACTTTAGACCAAGCCGCACCCATTGCCAGAGGCCCTTCACCGTCTCTTTGTCAAGTGTAACACCGGAGTCAGGGGTGGCCACCCCCCACCCAGTCTAAAACGGCCACCCCAGCACACTTCGCACCCCAAAGTAGTCCCGCTTCCACGCCGGGACCTTGTTAGGAAGATCATGTAAAAGCTTAAAACTCGGGCGAGGAGACAGGTAATACGCCCGCCTACGCTCGGGGAGGAGACCCGCTTGCTTCTTAAGCATTAAGATGGAAGAGAAGATTTCCAAGTCTAAAGGAAAGCCATGTTCGCTAAATAGGGAGATTGTCCCCACCAAATTACGAATGGAGTTCGGGTGGAGCTGGCCGACCGTAACACCGAAGTGATTCAAGACCTCGACAAGGAGAGGATGGAAAGGCAATCGCAACCCCGCAGCGAGCTGCTCCCGAAATATCACGATCTCATCAGAACCGTGTTCCCAAGGAAAGCTACCCGAAGGTATGAAATAAGCGTACTCCCCAGGCAAATTGTAATAGGTAATAAGGGATTGGAGCCCCTCAGGCGTCATGGTC